ATGGGGGACGCTAGCGGAACATGTAATGTTGGATTTTGTTATGAAAAAGGAATAGGAGTTGAAAAAGACTTACACCAAGCATTTAATTATTATCAAAACTCTGCAAATATGGGTAATTCTAGTGCAATGTATAACCTTGGAGATTGTTATGAAAACGGTATAGGAATTGACAAGAATGAGCACGAAGCATTCAATTATTATCAAAAATCTGCTGAGATGGGAAATTCAACCGCAATGAATCAAATTGGATATTGCTACAAAAATGGAATAGGAGTTGAAAAGAACGAGTGTGAAGCATTCACTTATTATCAAAGGTCCGCAAACATTGGAAATGCTGATGGAATAAATAATCTTGCATACTGTTATGGAAATGGAATAGGGATTAAAAAGGATGTGCATAAGGCATTCATTTATTATCAAAAATCTGCCGAAATGGGAAATGCTAGTGCAATTTTTAACCTTGGAAATTGTTATCAAAATGGAATAGGAGTTGAAAAAGATGAAAATAAGGCGTTTATTCAATATAAAAGGTCTGCAGATATGGAAAATGGTAGTGGAATAAATAACCTTGCATATTGTTATGGAAATGGAATAGGGGTTAAAAAAGACGAACATAAGGCATTCGTTTATTATAAAAAATCTGCTTATATGGGAAACTCCAAAGCAATAAATCAAATTGGGCATTGTTATTTTTATGGAATGGGGGTTGAAAAGAATGAAAATCTAGCATTTAATCAGTATAAAAAGTCTGCCCAAATAGGTGATTCTAATGGAATGACTAGCGTTGGTTATTGTTATCGAAATGGAATTGGAGTGCAAAGAGACTTAAAAGAAGCTAATGATTGGTATAAAATGTAAATAAAACATTAATTTATCTTTATTTTTTTATATAATTATAATCTTTATAATATATATTTCAAACAATAAATAGGGGAAAGAATAAGATGTCAGGTAATTTCTTGTTACCTAGCAGGCATGATGTATACACTTACAGAAAGAGTTTTATTAAAATTAATAAGAATTTGGCACATTATTTGAAAATTTTTCCGTCAGTGTTTATATAGTACCTGCTGGATAACTTAAATTATTATTACGATTATTTAATTCGAGTTTACTAAAACGCACCACTGGTGTTCTACATCAGTATGCAGTGTAACATGAAAATCATAATCAAAGCAATAACAAAAAAAAATAAATTTAATAAATATTTAGAGCTAATAACTAGAGGTTAGAGTAAAGCATAGTACATAGTAAAATTTTGCAAGGAATTTTTTTTTTTTAAAAAAAGATAATTTCATAGGTAAAATTTTGAGTTAAAGGTACTTTTTAAAAAAATAATAAAACAAACAAAAATTTTATGTTACACTGCATTTAAAAAATTTGATTGGTGAAAATCATTGTGGTGTTATGTGTTTTAGTAAAATCGATTTAATTTGCTTTACTAATTATTGATATTTCTTAGACACAAATAAATGGACATATAACAATCTTGATATTAATGATGACATAAAGAAATTATTAATCGAAGAAAAATATCCGTTACCATGGATATCTTATAAAGAATTTAATATGATTGGAAAAATAGGACAGGGTGGATTTGCTACAGTGTATCATGCCGAGTGGTTAGATAAACAGCAAAATATACGGAGGCATATTGCACTTAAATTATTTCATAGATCAAAATCTTATTATGAAGGATTTATAAAAGAGGTGATGTTCTGTTTAATATATATATTTTAATAATTTATACGTATTAAGTACTTTTTTTAATATTAAAGTTAAAGGCATATTGTGATATTAGTTCTATCTATCCATCATTTTTACAATGTTATGGAATATCGAAAGATGATTCTTCTGAAGATTACATACTTGTTTTAAAATATGCAGCAATGGGTTCTTTACGTAAAAATCTTCATTCTGTAGCTCAAATGAATTGGAAAGATAAATTAACCTTACTACATTGTATTGCTTCCGATCTTCAAATAATTCATTCTCAAGAACTTATTCATCGAGATTTGCATAGTGGTAATATTTTGCAAGATAATTTACATAGCGCGTATATTGCAGACTTGGGACTTTCGATATCAACTAATATAGAATTAAAGGCAGAACGTTGCCGTGTTTATGGAATTTTACCATATATTGCACCGGAGGTTTTAAATGAAGGGAGATACACAACGGCATCAGATATTTATTCATTTGGAATAATTATGTGGGAAATTTTATATGGAAACCCTATACATTATAATCAAGAATTTGGAATACAACTTCAAATACAAATATGTCGTAATGAATTAAGACCGGAAGTTATTGAAGACACGCCGCAATGCTATATAAATCTAATGAAGAAGTGCTGGGAAAAGGATCCAGAATACCGCCCATCAGCACTGGAGATTTGTGAAACCTTTACCAAATGGCAAAATGACGAAAATATTATATCTGAGCTAAATAAATCAGACGAACTGCTAAAAAATATCAAAAGTACACATATACAAACATATTCTGATGACAGTTATAGAAGCAAATTTATTAATCATACTGGTTCTCACCATCAAGGTAACTAGCATTATGGTTTTGTTTTTAACGAATGGAATTTATTTATTATTAATCATAATATGCAGATAGCAAATTTAGTAATCTGATTATTGAAGAATGATACGTTTGAAAAAAAGAAGAAAATTAAAAATCCTGCAGATATATTATTTATTAATTCACATGGGTGAATTTACTAGTATCGAGAACGAAGTTTATTGTCTATTTAATTTTTCGCATATCGCATATCGATAACTCCACTAGCCAGATATACCCCAAATAATAATATATCACATGTGTACAATACTTTCATATTAATTTATTTTATATATCAAAAATAATTATTTATATTTTATGGATGCCATTAAAGAAAAGCTTGTAATTCTTTGTATGCGAAATAACAATTAAATATTACATTTCTGTTTGTCAATAATATATAGTTAGCGCAAAGTAGTTATGCTCAAATCAAGAACAAATACGCCAATAGACTATATTCAAAGTTCTAAAAATTTAAGATTTGAAAAGTTTATTATATTTATAACTGATACCTTTTTTTACATACTGACCTTATTTTAGCATTCACATATTCATATTAGTGTTGGCTTGACCAGACCAGTTTGACCACTAGACCAGACCAATTTGATCTGTCTGGTCAAAGGATCTGTACTGGTCAAATTGGTCAAATAGTATATTTAAATATAATTTATTATATAATATATACAGTTGGCACTGTCTAAATGCATAGGATCCGTGGACAAATATTTTATGCATTTAAGCAGTATATGCAATTAGGCATACTATTAAAATTTTGTATAATATAAAATTATCCAATTAATTTTATTTATTTAATCACATGACAAAAGTAACCAATCAAAAACTTTTATTATTTATTAATAAAAATGCTTTTGATTTTATATTAGCCTATTTTGTAGCTCTAATTAAAACAGTAGAGGAGATCTTTATGATTCTAATGGTGGTTAAATCATCAAAATTGGCCCAGTAGTAATCAAAAGAAGTCTCTAATTATATAAATTTCTTTGCAGATTTGCAGAGATTTTATATAATCAAGAAACTTCTTTTGCATATATCTCATAATACACTAAGCCAATTTTGATAATTTAACCACTATTAGAATCGTAAAGACCTTTTTTATAACTTTATTAAAATCATAAGATTGATTAACATAATAAAAATTAAAATTGGAAATATTTTTTATTATTTTTCTAAATACATATTTAATTATTTTTTATACATTATGCTAATAAAGAAATTATGTATTTATCATTAAGAACCAAGTTGGTGGACAGGAATTGTATGCAGTTAGACAGTATATGCAATTAGACATATGGGGTGGAGTTAATAGAAAAGGGACAAATTGTTTTTAGTGAAATTTTTTTAATTTTTAAATTAAAATATCTCAACAACTAATTAACCAAATTTGCTCAAAATTTTTTTATTTTAATTTTGAAATTATAAAGAATTAAAATAAAAAAACATTATTAAATTTGATAAGATAATTGCTGAGATATTTAAGCTTAAAATCAAGAAAACTTTTACTTAAAAAAAATTTGGCCCTTTTCTATTGACTCCACCCTATATACATTTAACTGTATATTATATTTATATAATAGACTTGACCAATTTGACAAGCTTAATCATTTGACCATTTTTGCCAAACCAATTTGACCAGTAAATTTTTGGTTGACCACTAATTTGCCCAACACTAATTCATATATAAGTTATTGTTATAGCTAAGAATGAAAAACATAAAACATATAGTCATTAATCAACTAATTAACTAATTGACTATTAGTCAAGTAATCAACTATTAGTAGACTAATCAACTAATTATATGAGCTAATTTGGCTCCGATCACTATGTGAATTTTGTAATTATTGCAAATCTGTCCTACACCAAAAATCAATTTTGTGATCAGATTATTCGGTTTTATCACAAAATTTTATTTTTAAACCAATTATAAACTATTATCTCTCTTGAATCTACTTGCAATTGTTAATTCTAGATGGGTTCTAGATAGGTTTTTTCTGAAATAAGTAGAAGTAAATGAGTAGAAGGTAAATCAACAAAAATTGATATTCAAAATTTTCAAACTATACTAAATTTTCTATCTAGTTTCTTATAACAATAAGCTATTATACAATTATTTTATATCACGTGATTGCACAGATATTTATAAAAAATGTTTACACCCAACAATTACATATTTAATACATAAATATTTATTGATAAATTGTTTAATGTAAATACAATATTAATATACAAATATTATATATTTTTATTATTTCATAGACTATTATTCTTATTCAAATCCATGTTCATGCTCTTTGATTGTATTGGCAATTTGTAATTCTCTTAGTTTCTCCTTTCTTTCTTCAATTTCAATCTTTCCATTTGTGTCATTAATGATTCATTAGTACTTTTTGTATTGGAAACAAAATCATTTTTATCTAAACTACTTTTGGTTGATTAACAACATTAGATGTTAATTCTTTCATAAAATAGGCATCATTTATTTCATATGCAATTGCCAAATCATATTCAACATCAGATTCTTCATCCAAGGTCAAGTTCTATTAATTATTACTTTAATTAGAAATTTAACTAAAATATTTATTTCTTAATATTATAAGTGTTATTGCATCAACAGTTTCATAACTTTCAAAGTTTTCCAAGCACTTAAGACGTTCAAGATCCTCTTCATAAATCGTCTCAATTCCATCAATAACTTGAATAGTAAATTATCCATTTTTTAATTTAAAAATAATATATTATCATTATCTTTATCAAACAAGAATCACAAAATTTTCAAATGTATATTTTTAACAGCATATTTTACCCGTTGAAAAAATTGTATCATTCGAATAACCAATCTTCCGTGATCATATATATGCAATCGATTATTCTTTATTACAAACTTTTAATTTAATATCGACGAATAATCAAAGCCTAATCGTCATATATACGTAATCTTAAATTACGTATTTATCGCTATAACACATAGGTATGATAGCTTTACTATACATGTGAGTATGATACTCAATTATAATCCTACTCAACTACATTTGTACTTCATACTATATTACTTTAGGTATAAATCCTCATTAACAGTTTGAGGCAGGCTTTCACTTTGGTGTGCTACTTTTTGAAAGCTCAAAAAAGCACTAAGACCCGTGTTTGAATATATAGGGTAGGTTTATTCATTTTTGATGAAACGATAGGAATGTTTATCTCCGTAATGAATTAAAGTTTAAATCGAAACTAAACGTTTTGTTGAGAATTGCTAGGTAATTATGAACTCTCCACTTCAAGCTGGTTTATCTTTGTTTACGCATGGCCTGTTGCTATTTCTTGTTTACGCTATTTTAATTCAAGTTCAATAGAAATTGTCTTTGGTCAATTTGAATATAAACTCATTAGACGTTGTCTCTAGTGTCTTCAGTGTCATACTTCAATTTTGCATCGATTTTCTTTATTTTGAGCAAAGGTCGATTTTTTACTTAGTGGAAAAATGCAATTGTTGTCACATGATTTTATAAATAATATAGTGCTATATGCAGCGCTGTACGTACGTACGTAACGGTAATATTTTACTTTTTTTTTTCGACCTTGTGTTTCAGATTAAGATCCTATATTTTTTAATATAAAATGTGTAGTGATAGAATATGGTGAATAATTAATCTTAATCAGTTCCATCATTATTCTTTAGGAATATCAAAATTGTGAGGAATATCATATGGGCGAAAATTTTTAATGCAATATTGTGATTATTAAAATTCGAATCACTAAAATCAAAAATTCCGCCCATATGTTGGGTATAAAAACTGATAAGTAACTCATAAGCAATTCATAAGTAATTTTACAATCATTGGTAAATAATCCTAGTAATCACATTATATCATATACTAGCTTATTGCCCGTGGCTTTTCTACGAACATTTTTATATACTCCTACTTAGTGATGGGACTACAGAGGCTAAAAATTCAACTGTTATATGCAGTGATCTATTAAAAAAAATTTGATCCTTTATAAATTTATTGGATGTGATAATTATCATCTTAGCATCAGTAGTTTCACCACTACTCCTAATATTAATTTAACGGTGAAATTGTAGTATAGAGTTTATTGGCTTAAATTCTATATAATCTCATTATTCAATTTATCTAATCACAAAATGAAGATTTCCGCACATATGATCGCTTTGTGTACAGTATTTTGACTAAAATACTTTGTTATCATGTAATGTAAATTTAAATATAATAACCACTAAGAATTAAAGAATTCATTCTAGATTTTTCCGGGAAACGCAAGTTTTGATCTGGTGTAACAATAATGGAGTATTTACTCAGAATTTGTAGATCATTTCTCGTAAGAATAAAAAAAAAGCACATAAAGAATATTGTAACATTGCTAAATAAAACCATTAAATTAATCTGGAGTATAATTTACGGAGTATAATTTCCGGAGCATGATTCCGGAGTATGATTTCCGGACTAAATATTAAAATTATAAAAACTGTACAGTATGTTTTATTTTACGTTTCGAAAATAATTTTACAAAGATAATAAAATATAATTTATCAAAAAGAAACAAAATTCCAAAAAAAAAAAAATAATAATAAATAAAATAAAATTAAATAAAAATAATATTTTTACAAATAATTTTTTTTTTTAAACTTTTTAAATTTTACACAAATACAGTCGATGTCATCGTCGTCATCTGATAAAGCTTTTTAAAATCCAACATTCCAGATGTCAGTATTAGATTCTCTACATTATTCGATATAGAATATCGAGAAAAAAGGATCTGAATACATGCACGTTAAATAGGTGAAAGTATACATTTGCCATTATTATTACTTATGTCTAAAGTAAAAATTATGTGTCGTTGAACAATTGACTGTCTGATTTTCTTGAGACGGCTTATTAACACTAATTGTTTGATAGTGCATATCGTGTGAGTTGTCGCTTGCATTATAGAATGGAAACAATATTATCGGTTGGCCCAATTGGTTATAAAAATATAAAATTGGCATGTAATTTGTGTTACCTATTAAAAGTACGAAACCGTTAATAAAATACAGAAATATTGAGCCAAAAGCACAACAAATATTAAGCATATACCATGTGATGTGGTCAATTCACTTGTATGAAGGTAAGGATTAGATATGTTATGATTTGAATTGTATGAATCTATAGAGTTAATTGGAACAATATATTTAACTACATGTAGGTATAGCAAATGCTAAATCTAATAACATAAAATTATGTGTGAAAGTTTATAATTAAATATATTAGACGAACCTTGATTTGGTAAGGTGTTCGATGCAATTGGGTTAGTTCCATGATTCGTTTGTGATGTCATATCAGCATAGTTTTGCGTAGGAACATCTTCTATAAACTCATGAGTAGTTTGATATGGGCTCATATGTAATATCGTATTAACAGGGTTTGGCCCGGAAGCTTGCAAAGGAAAATCTTCATTAAGTTTATGAGTAGCTTGAGGTGGACTCATATATAATGCTGTATTAGCAGAATTTGGTCCGGAGGCCTGAATAGGAAAATCTCCTTGTTCATGAATAGTTTGAAGTGAGCTCGTCGTATCAACACAATTTGGCCCTGAAGCTTGCGCAAGAACATCTTTATACTCATGATTATTTTGAAGTGATCTTGTATGTATTATCATATCAAAACGGTTTTGTCCGAAATCTTGCATAGGAACATCTTCAGGTGGGCTCGTATATAATGGTGCACTAACATAGTCTGGTCCGGAAATTATCATAGGAGCACCTTCTTTAAGCTCATGAGTAGTTTGAGATGGGCTCATATGTAATGCTGTTTTAACAGAGTTTGGCCTGGAAGCATACATAGGAAAATTTTCTTTAAGATCATGACTAGTTTGATGTGAACTCATCGTATCAACACAGTTTTGCCCGGAAGCTTGCGCGAGAACATCTTCATGCTCATGAGTTTTAGGTGAGTGCGTATATAATATCATATCAAAATGGTTTTGTCCGAAATCTTGCATAGGAACACCTTCATTAATTTCATGAATAGCTTGAGGTGGGCTCATATGTAATGTCGCATTAGGCTCGGAAGTTAGCATAGGAACATCTTCAAGCTCACTATGTACTGTATTTGAACGAGAATTTTTATTTCTAGGTACTGTGTTTGAACGGGTGAGTTTTTCTGAAGTAGGTTCATTATTTTGCTTTGTGTTAGATGTCGTATGTCGCCGTTGCACTTTAGGACGCGTTTGAAGCATTTCACGCTTGAACTTTTCTTTAATTTCGCTCTGCTTAGAGAACATATATTGCGTTATGACATTTTTTTTTTTAAATGTGATTTTCCTCATTGTAATAGAGCGAGAACAGAAAAATGAAGGAAATGAAGAATGCCTTTGGCTCCAGCAGAAGTATTTATTAATAAATTATTTATTTCTCCTATTTAAGTAAATGCCTATTTAGTAAGTGGAGCGGTTATAATTCAAGAAACTATTCGCGCTTACTATATTTTATATAAAAATTTTATATATAAAAGGATCATTAAATTTCGAAATATCATAAATCGGTATTTACTATATTAGTAAAGAACTTATAAATCTATTTTTATGTAATGCCTATTTAGATGAGATTGATCTTCTTGAAAAGGCTAGGATTGACGTACACAAAAGACGTTTAAGGAATTTTCCATTTTTATAGTAATAAAAATCGATGGTCCAGCGAAATCTTGTTAATTTTATATGTCTTAAATGACGTCATTGTATTGATCGATCTTATTATTTTAGACTATATTTTGTAATAAAAGATTCGATTTAGTTTTAATATAAAATTTTCTGCTTCTCATGTTAGCATTATAAAAAGATTAGGGTGCGCAAACGTGCCCTAGCCAAGAAGAGAGTCGTCTCAAAAAATAAGCAAAAAAAAAAACAATACCGCAGCCCGAACTTTATTTTAAACTGTCAATCTTTTTACGGAAATTTCTTTTTTGAAAACAGTAACAGTATTCATAACTGATAGATCACACACAACAAACAAATCGTTTATAGAAATTTACAAATAAAGAATAATGTATGGTGCTTTTAATAATATTATGCAATATATACCTTATTTTTCTTTTGTGTTTATGTAACTAAAATATTGTGTTAAAGCGTTATTAGGGAATTTCTAAATATGGAATAACTGGACTAGGTACGTAGCCATGAGCGTGGAACTTTAAAGAGTAAATCTTAATTAGTAAAATTTCTTTATAAGGAAATGCTATATTTAGAGTTTATTTAACGTTTTTTTAAAAAAATGTATATTGATAATAATGCATAATATATAGCTTTAATTATTGAATTATGCAACAAGGTCCTTTTAATAATGCTCGTAGTAATATGTGGAAGTTTTAGTGTACTAAAAAAATTTAACTACAGTACTAAATTTCATAACCTAATTGCTTGTATTCAGTATTAGATATAGGTAATGATTTTTGTCTATAATTTATCCATTGTATTCCATTGTATGTTTCGCTAAATGGAATATCTGACTAAATTGGGTATTTACAAAGTAGGAAAATGCAAGTAGTTGAAAAGCGCAGGTATACACAAATTAATAATCATTATTTACGTTGTAAATTCGTTTCACAAAAAAAAATTTTCGAGTTTGTATTAATCCAACACGTAACATACAATATATATATATTGTCAATCATTCACTATGTTCGGTTTAGAGAAGAAATGGCGTGCATCAGTAAATCTTAGAATTGGTCATTATGTATGACTTCGATCTAGCATGTGGAGAAAGTACATAAATTTTCTTATTTTGAATAGAAACAAGTAAGCGATCATATCAGTGCGTACACCTTTTCAAGCTATACTGGCTTAATGCCATAAAAAATCACCAATCACATGATGTTATGTTGTTCCATTCTCAAAATTTTATTTGCCAAAAATTTTTTTCAAACCCTTTAGCAATAATGCTAAGGACATTATTATGATAAGTAAATTTATCGTTATTTTCGACATGGTTAAAATAACAATATATACAAAAAAATTTTTGTGAATATTCGAATACTTGGTTGGTTTGAAAATTAATCACTTTTATGTAAATTAGAATCGATCTTCGATTAATGTTCTAAACTAATCGAGTATTCTAGTACTTGCAATATATATACAGTCAGACCTCGTTATAGTCACTCTTGATATAGTCACAACCTTGATATAATCACACTATTTTTAACTTGAGCTATTATAAAACATATAAAATTTGACCTTTATATAGTCACAACTTTTATAATCACCGGATATTTGTTCCCAAGTTGGTGATTATATCGATGTTTGACTATACTGTTGAACCTCCCAAAATCGATCCCCTCAAACCTGATAACCTGTCAAATCTGATAAAAAATTAGTCTACCAAGTCTGTTTCCGTTGTATAAATCTAATAGTTTATAATGCTTTCAAATCCAATAACCTCACAAAACTAATACAAAATCTGTCTACCATGCATATCGGTTTGGGGAGGTTTAACAGTATTATCTCAAAATCTGACTAATTAATCAATGCAAGATGTTCTAGGTAAAAGTGCTGATGTTCTATAGAATAGGTGAGCAAACTTCGCAAACTCCACAACTCTGCTAAATATTTATTAATGATTACTAATTGTTAGTGGAGTTTATTTTTTATATTGCTCATCTATTCTATAGACTATCCAAAAGTGCTCTATGCTTCTAAAAACCCCTTTTCCAAACTTTAACCCAAACTATAAATACTAACACTAATTTAAAAATTGTGTTGAAAATTTTTATATTCAAAACATAGAAAATCTAAAAACATAATAAAATATATGATAGGTGCAAAACCACTATAGGTGCATTTTATAATAAATGTTAAGAGGGTGACAAAATTTTATTCCCACTCAAAAAAAATTTTTTAAAAATCAACTTTCAATCAGAATCAAATAAATATATATTCATTTGAAAGCTTAAGCATTTCTCTATTTAATAAAATTTTTAAAATTTATTATTATTATTATTATTATTGATCAAATTTTGATTTTAAAAATTATTCTATTTTTAAAATCAAATTCCATAATTTTGAATATAATAATTATATTATTTTTTTTATTGTAGGTGTATTTATAGTATCTCTAAAACATTATATTATAAGGTTTATTATTTAATTATTTATAAAATTGGATTTTTATAAAGAATATATATATATAAATATTTAAAAAATCAAATTATATCTTAAAGTTTTATTAATATAATTAACTTTATTATATAATTAAACTATATTTTTTAAACAATTTTACATTATATAAGTTAGTTAAATTAATAATAAAATTTAATAATAAAATTTAATAAGAATTTTAATAATTAATTTAAATAGCATTTAACAAAATATCAAATAAGTTTTTAACAATAATTCAAAATTAATAATTTTGGTACTATTCAAATCATCTTACTAAGACAAATTAAATGATACTAAAATTATTAAGTTTTAATTACTAGTTATTAAAATAATTAAAATTTTATAAAAATTATAAATATATTTATATTTTGAAAACTAGTAATTAAATATTAATAATTTTGGTACTATTTAATTCATTTTAATAAGATGATTTAAATAATACTAAAATTATCAAGATTAAATTACTAGATTATAAAATATTTGCAAAAAACTAATTTTAATATAATTTAACATTAAATTTAAATTATTATACTATCTATATCTTGTAATCTAGTGGTTTAATTTTAATAATTTTAGTACCATTTGAATCACCTTATCAAGATGAATCAAATAGTACCAAAATTGTTAAATTTTAATTATTAGATATTAAAAATATTATTATTTTAATAATTTGTATATATAAGTTTTTAAATAATAATTTTTCAATATTTAATAGGTATTGCTATTTGCACTATGATAAACACTAATTGCACTATAAATTTTATATAACAGTAAATCTTCTTCTATTTACACTATGTAGATCACTTGATTAAATATTTTAAAATTTAAAAACTTCTATTAATATTATCTTTATGAGTTATTGATCAAATTTGATAAATTTTTTTTATTTGAATTCTTAAAATTTGTAGAATTAAAATAAAAAAATTTTCATTAAATTTAGTTAAGAACTCATAGAGATATCTTCAATATACATTTCTACTTCTATAATAAAGAAGCTGTGCCAAAATTGTTTACAGGAACTTTAATCAAAGATATCTCTACAAGTTCTTAACCAAATTCGATGAAAATTTTTTTATTTTAATTTTATAAATATATTGAATTTAAATAAAAAACTTTTCATCGAATTTGGTCAAGTACTTATATAGATATCTTTGATTGAAGTTTTTTTTTATTTCCAAAATCATATATGTGCCAAAATTGCTTACATAAACTTTTATTAACAATATTCCCACATTTACTTGACCAAATTCAATAAAAACTTTTTTATTTTAATTCTATAAATCCATAGAATTTAAATAAAAAATTTTCATCAAATTTGGTCAAGAACTCATAGAGATAACTTTGATAGAAGTTTTTTTTATTTTAAAAATGTATATTACAAAGAAGCTATGCCAAAATTGCTTATATGAAATTTATTGAAGATATCTCCACAAGTTCTTGACCAAATTCATTAAAATTTTTTTATTTTAATTTTATATATCTATAGAATTTAAATAAAAAAATTTTTATCAAAATTAGTAAAGAACTCATAGAGATATCTTTGATAAAAGATTATTATTATTATTATTATTTTAATATTAAGGTGAGACCTTGCTCTTATCTTTATTAAACTTAATGAAAACTTTTTACATGATTGAAAAAGGTTTTATATTTTAAGCCTAGTGCTAAGAATAAGAACTCAAATATATAACTAAGAGGATCTAGTATCTGCGACCTAAACCTACCAGAGCGGCCAAAGCTTACTTAGATTTGAGCTAGATTGAGAATATATAAAAGGTATATATGATAATTGATCCAGTTAGAATACCAAAATAATACTTTTAAAAAAGATATTTGAAGAGTAGTAGAAGTGTCTGATATGGGAGGTGTGTTGTATAAGGATTCAGATATAGTTGAGGTTGAGGTCTTGAGCTACAATAAGGAATCCAGATATTTGAATAAAGTTGTTTGTTGATATGGAGAAGGAGTTGTATAGAAATTGAGATAGCTAATTGGTTAAATATAGTAAATTCACATATTGTATATATAAATTATAAGGAACAAGACCAGAAAGTGTAGAAAAAATAGAGGGCTTGTCAGGAGAGTCATATATTAGAAAGCTATCAAGGTTGACAACTTGGTTGTATAGCTGATTA